TGTTGTGAACTCTTCGTGATGCCTTCCCCAGGATATTTGCAGATGTGGTTGGGAAAAGTCATTTCATCCCCAACCTTTGCATCTCAGGTGCTGAGGTGCTGGGGGTGCCATGGTGATCACAGGGAAGCAGGCCAGCCGGCACCCCCGGCCCCGGGGGTTCCGGGGGTGCTGGCTGGCCTGCGAACAGGCTCTCTCTCCCTCCAATCGCCATGGAGATCACGGGGAAGCAGGCAAGCGGGCACCCCCGGCCCCGGGGGTCCGGGATTGCCGGCTGGCTTGCGCCTGGGCTCTCTCTCCCTCCGATCCACAATGCGATCACCTGCCGCAAGCAGCCAGCATCCCCGGCCTGGGGTTGTTGCCTCGCCTGCCGCCAGGCTTTCCAATGGCAATCACCTGCTGGGGGGCGGGCAAAGGCGGCCGGCAGGGCCCCTTTGCCTGCCCCCAAGCTCTTGCCTGCCGCCTGGGTTTCCGATCCCTTTCGCCTCCCAGGATTGCGCCTAGTATGCAAATTAACCGCCATCTTTGTTGGCAGTTAACCACCATCTTGGTTGGCAGTTATTTTGCATATCGCCCTGATTAGCCAATGGGAAGCATGTTGGAGGTACGTTTAATGACCATGTTTTTCTATTATTAGATAGGATAATGAGCATGTAAAATTTTTTTTATTTTTTGTAACTCAGGTTATTACATGGAATTTTTATTCTTGATGTGATTGTAGAGACACAGAACAACTTGGATGTTTGAGAAGTTTTGTGTGTCCCTGTTCTTCCACAGCCTGGGTGAGTAGGTATTTCTTCCTACCCTCTCCCACTGCCTGGGGTTACACAGCTTGCCTTGTCCAGCATCACTTCAAAGCAAATCAGGTGCTGTCACCAACTCTGATTAATATCTCAGCAACCTCCCTACCACAGACAAGAGAATATGTTCCAAGTCCCAGGTTACCTTTTTCTCATCTTCCTTTCTTTCTCCTGAATTTTAGCAGAAAAAACTCTCTTCCTGATATGCATTCAAGCTATCTTTCTTTTCTATTTCCAACCTCCCAATTTTATCCTTTTATAACTCACAAATATGAGAAACAAAGTTCTTGTAGTTGAGAAAATGGTCCACAGAAGTAAACTCCTGCGTAACACAGCTGTGAGGAGGAAGGGATTACTACTTTGCTTGGAAACCATTGTTTGAAGAAGTTGGTTGAAATTCGGAAGCAAGCAACAGCTATGGGTGTCTCTGAACAAAGGCTACTAAAAGGGGATTAATTCTGTTTTAAAGATCTTGAGAACCGATGTGGTTGGGAAAAGTCATTTCATCCCCAACCTTTGCATCTCAGGTGCTGAGGTGCTGGGGGTGCCATGGTGATCACAGGGAAGCAGGCCAGCCGGCACCCCCGGCCCCGGGGGTTCCGGGGGTGCTGGCTGGCCTGCGAACAGGCTCTCTCTCCCTCCAATCGCCATGGAGATCACGGGGAAGCAGGCAAGCGGGCACCCCCGGCCCCGGGGGTCCGGGATTGCCGGCTGGCTTGCGCCTGGGCTCTCTCTCCCTCCGATCCACAATGCGATCACCTGCCGCAAGCAGCCAGCATCCCCGGCCTGGGGTTGTTGCCTCGCCTGCCGCCAGGCTTTCCAATGGCAATCACCTGCTGGGGGGCGGGCAAAGGCGGCCGGCAGGGCCCCTTTGCCTGCCCCCAAGCTCTTGCCTGCCGCCTGGGTTTCCGATCCCTTTCACTTCCCATGATTGCACCTATGTATGCAAATTAACCGCCATCTTTGTTGGCAGTTAACCACCATCTTGGTTGGCAGTTATTTTGCATATCGCCCTGATTAGCCAATGGGAAGCATGTTGGAGGTACGTTTAATGACCATGTTTTTCTATTATTAGATAGGATAATGAGCATGTAAAATTTTTTTTATTTTTTGTAACTCAGGTTATTACATGGAATTTTTATTCTTGATGTGATTGTAGAGACACAGAACAACTTGGATGTTTGAGAAGTTTTGTGTGTCCCTGTTCTTCCACAGCCTGGGTGAGTAGGTATTTCTTCCTACCCTCTCCCACTGCCTGGGGTTACACAGCTTGCCTTGTCCAGCATCACTTCAAAGCAAATCAGGTGCTGTCACCAACTCTGATTAATATCTCAGCAACCTCCCTACCACAGACAAGAGAATATGTTCCAAGTCCCAGGTTACCTTTTTCTCATCTTCCTTTCTTTCTCCTGAATTTTAGCAGAAAAAACTCTCTTCCTGATATGCATTCAAGCTATCTTTCTTTTCTATTTCCAACCTCCCAATTTTATCCTTTTATAACTCACAAATATGAGAAACAAAGTTCTTGTAGTTGAGAAAATGGTCCACAGAAGTAAACTCCTGCGTAACACAGCTGTGAGGAGGAAGGGATTACTACTTTGCTTGGAAACCATTGTTTGAAGAAGTTGGTTGAAATTCGGAAGCAAGCAACAGCTATGGGTGTCTCTGAACAAAGGCAACTAAAAGGGGATTAATTCTGTTTTAAAGATCTTGAGAACCTATAAAAAAAAAGAAATACAGAAACTGTGACATTGTATTTTCCAAAGATGGCCACAACAATATCTCGCATCCAAAAATATTTACTTACAACCAACTTTGACAACCCTCCCACAGAGATGTGGAGTCTGTTTCCAACCCTTAAATGTGAGTAGGCTTATAGTTGGTGAACGGGATGTTGTGTGACTTTGTAGAGTAGATGGTAAAGGGTGACAAACCTTCCCCTGGTTCTCTTGGACACTTGCTTCTAGAGGTCTGAGTTAACATGTCAACCACCCATCTACTCAGAGGCCACAATCCTGGGAGGAAGCCCTAAGTAATCTATGAAGAGAGACTGCATGGAGAATCTGAGAGACTAACTGAAGTGAGAAATGCCTGGCCAGCCCAGCAGTTTTGTCTCCAGCCAATGTCTGACCGAAAACACAACCAAGCCTTTCCTGAATTCCTGATCCATAGAAACCATAAAATAGAAGCCACTTGCCCTAGCCGGTTTGGCTCGGTGGATAGAGCATCAGCCTGCGGACTGAAGGGTCCCAGGTTCGATTCCGGTTGAGGGCATGTACCTTGGTTGTGGGCACATCCCCAGTAGGGGGTGTGCAGGAGGCAGCTGATAGACGTTTCTCTCTCATCGATGTTTCTAACTCTCTATCTCTCTCCCTTCCTCTCTGTAGAAGATCAATAAAGTATATTTTAAAAAAAAATAGAAGCCACTAAGTTTGGGGATGATTTCTTACACAGCAATAGATAACTGATACAGAATTCCTTCCCTTTTAAACTTTTCTCTCACATCGTCTTTCTTAAAATTGAGTATTGAATGGACTTAATGTTCACTCAAATATTTTTTTATTATAAAGATATTTAGGTATGTATTATAGAGGTTAAGGGAGTCATTCTGCTGGATCAGAATCTTAGCTACCATTTGTTTAACTACATGACCATGGGCAACTTACTAAATAGGGTGAAAATTGTGATTACTTCTACTCTCAGCTCTATTTCAGCAGTCCTCCACTGTGTGGAAGTAAGTGTCCCTCCAGTTCCTGGGCAGATTTTGGTGGGTCTATAGAGCCAATCATGATCATCCCATCCCGATTGACACAATGATTACCTCTAGCCTAACCTAATTGGTGTGAAACAGTTTCCTGGCCACTGGGATTGATTTGAAACAACTCAATCACAGCAAAACCAGTAGCTATTGTGGAAGTGGCTCATATCCCTAGATGCAAATGAGGAAACGTGTGGTCTTGGCAGATGAAACCAGCCATCTTATGATCCTGACAGAAGTCACATGGAAAATGAAGCTGAGGTAAGTAGCAGGGGTTGGGCCAAGGTAATTACAGAGAAATTGAGCCAGAGACCTGGCCAAACCATACCTGAAGCTCCCCTACCTCTGGACTTTTCAATTATGTGAGTTGACAAATCTCTATTATCATTTAAGAAATTTGGGGCTGAGTTTTCTGTTACTTAAGCTTTACCTCTCTGTGCCTCACTCCCCATATACAATATGGGGTTAATATGGTACCTTCTTCATTGAGTTGTTGTGGGGAACAAAGGCATTAATATATGTAAAGTTTTTAGATCAGTGCCTGGCACAAAGATACAAGCATAAAGCTAGAACTGAAGTGATAGGTATAGTTCTTATGCAACTATAAATTAAAAATAATTTCATTAATTAAATTCAAATAAGCAGAGGTACTGAAAGTATGTGGCAGTACTTGGTTATAATATAGTCATTTGTATGATTCAGAATATGCTACTATTACTTTTCTTATAATGTCTTAAAAATGAAAAACGAACATATAAAATCCTTATGGACAATTCATTAATCTCCTAGAATACATGCGCTACCTCAACAGGAACCAAAATGTCAACTCCATACACATCCAGAGCATTCCTACTGAATGAATGAGGAGCATAACAAATATGATTTGAGGCCTTTTCTAGGGAAAGTAAACCAGCTGACTCTTTTGCTTTCTATCATGAAATCCTTCAAATTAAAATGTCACCATTCACCACAGAAAAAGTCTCAAAAAATGAACTTTAAAAAAATTGATTGAGCCAGGCCAGGGTGGCACAGTGGTTGAGCGTCAACCTATGAAACAGTAGGTCACGGTTCAATTCCTGGTCAGGACCCATACCCAGGTTGCAGGCCCGATCCCCAGTAGGGGGTGTGCAGGAGGCAGCCGATCAATGATTCTCTCTCAACATTGATGCTTCTATCTCTCTCTCCCTTTCACTTCTTCTCTAAAATCAAGAAAAAACATATTTTAAAGCTTTGAGAGAAAATTCAGTTTTCTAAGAATGGAAAAAGAATTGTTAAAAATCCTTAAATAGAGTCTATTATATTCAGTTAACACCATTTTCTATAGTGAGAGATATTGCCTCAGAAATGATGCCAGTCCTTAAGATTTTTTTATGCAGTTTCATAATAAGCCATTACATTCAGAGGATCACCTGACAAACACAATACAGCTAAAAGCAGCTTAAACTCAATTACACATCCATGATTCTAGAGCCAATAGTTATTCACGCCAAGTAAATATTGATTTTGTTTATTTTATTGTCTGTGTGATATATTCTGAGGCTTGAGCAGCTGGTAAATTTTGTAACTTATGATTTTTTTCCTTTAAAAAATATGTTTTTATTGATTTTAGAGAGAGGGGAAGGGAGAGGGATAGAGAGATAGAAACATTAATGAGAGAAAAACATCAATCGGCTGCCTCCTGCATGCCCTCCCTCCCTCCACCCCCCACCCCAAGGGGATGGAGCCTACAACCTGGTCATGTGCTCTGACCAGGAATCGAACCAGTAATCTCTAGGTTCATGGTTCAGTACTCAACCATAATGGCTGGGCATAACTTAAGTGTTTTTATTCTTATCTTCAAAACTTGATCCTACTGTGTTCTTCCCACCCACCTACAACCCCCAACTATAGCTGTACTTATGTGAATTCTTGTGGTGAAAATTCACAGTTAAAGACAATTGTGATAAACATTTTGCTTATATTTGGTAGGAGACCAACCTCACCCATCACTCTTTTATCAACATAGCAACAAGGAAGGAGTCATTCGATCCAGGAGCATTTGACAGATCAGAAATGCTGACCTGGGGTACAGGTGAGATACTGTTTTAACAGTAGGTCCTGGCATGAACCCAAGCTGTGTGACCAGGAGATTCAGACCTGCACAGTTTAATGGACAGAGAGATAGCCTGTCCTGTGGACGAATATTTGCAGAGGGGGCTGAGACAGACTTAGGCAGACATGTAACCTTGGCACTAATTGAATTTGGGCCTCTAAGAGGTGTCTGTGTTTCTCATCTGAAGAGGGCAAAATGTTTAGAGGAAACTCTTTCTGGGTTTATTTTTTATACAGTGCAATTCCTATAAATAGACTCCATCAAGGTACACCACGACAATGACTGAATTCTCTGCCTATTTCCTGGGTGGCAGCCATGCCTGTTCCAGTTATTTGTTGCTGCATAAATCAACTACCCAGCATGTAATAACTTAAAACTGTAACTTTGTGGGTCAGGAATTTGAGCAGGATTCAGTTGGGCAATTCTGCTCCTCATGCTGTTGATCAGGGTCACCAGATGTTGTTCAGCTATAAGGGAGTGAGAGATCCCAGGAGACCCTTGATCTGTGGTGGGTAAGGAGGGTCTAAGAAGGCTTTACTCACATGCCTGGTGTCTTGATGGAAATATGTGGAAGACTGAGCTCAGCTGGACCCTACTCCAGCTCCATGCAGTTCCACAGCCTTTACATGTGGTTTCTCCAAAAGAGTAAGTAGTTGACCTTCTTACCTGGCAGCTCAGCCCTCTAAGAAGCTGCAGTTCTCTCAAGGCTTAGGTCTAGCGCTATTATAGTTTTGGTTCTACGATACTCAGTTATAGGAACAGTCACAGGCCAGCCCAGATCAAGGAGATAGGATGTGGGCTATACCTCTCAATAGAAAGAAATGGCAGCCATCAGGATGCTCTTCCTCTGCTGAACAAGCAAAGACCTGTGATCCTAGCTCAAGGTTACCATTCGTGGAAGGAAACTTGAACTGAGGTCTTCCTCCTGAGAAGCTGGGGTGGCTGACCTTGACCAGATTCCGTGTTTTAGAAGTCACATTCCCCTTCTGTGGACCTCAGAGGGGCACTCTGTGATCAGATAGATCCTTATCCTTGTGTTGCTTCTGTCATTCTTCACTGCTCATCTGAACTCTCTCCAAGTTAAACAGATCAAGGGTCCCCTGGGATCTCTCCCTCCCTTAGAGCCTTAATCAGTTGAACAGGTCTCTGGCGTCTTAGAAAAAGCTCCACAATATTAAAATAAGATGTAATGAGGTCTCATCAAAAAGGCAGATTCTTGACCACCAGGGGAAAAAAAAAAAGAAAGAAAAGGGAAATTCATGTTTGAGAAAAGCATAAATACTTGGTGAGCTTCTGCAGAGTGCTTCAAAGAAAGAATGCTAAAAAAAAATAAAAAATGCTATGACTGAATCAGAATCTGAACATAAAAGTTCAACAGATAACATGGTAATGCTTGCTTGGCAATCCCGTCTTCCTGATGGAAATGCAAACAGGCAAAGGCAGATCCTTCTTTTCAAAATGGATTGTAAACACTAGGCTCTACCAACATGCTGATTTGGAGATTATTTTATTACTGTGTACTTTTCAAGGCTAAATTGGAAACATCTGTCTTCCTGAGAATTAACTGGAAAAAGATTACAGCTGAGGATGAGATGGCACAGTCCCTTCGAGTTGCCTCATGCTGAAGATGGGTGTACCTTAAAGATGTAGGAAGCTTTTTCTGTTGAGGATAGGTTTATTAATTTTAGAAAGAGAGGAAGGGAGAATAGAGAGAGAGAAACATTGATGTGAGAAAGAAACGTTGATTGGTTGCCTCTAGTATACGCCCCAACTGGGAATCTAACCCGAAACCTTTTGGCATATGGGATGACACTCCAACTAACTGAGCCACCAAATCAGGATATTGTGTGCCCCATTATTTTATAAACTACTAGAGGTCCAGTGCAAAGATTTGTGCACATTGAAAAGAAATTAATTAGAAGGTGGCTGGCATGGCAGGACCAGGTGAGACAGGCCAGACACACCCTGGAGCCAACCTCCTGTGGTCCCTCCCCAGCCAGCCACACCTGGGGCAGTGCTTGAAGGGCATCTGTGGAGTGAGAGAGGTCCCTCTGGCAGGTGGGGTCTCTCGGCCTGGCCTGCGGGGATCGGGCTCCCTCCTCTCTGGTTCCAAGGTGTGTCATCTGAGAACCACCGCTGCTCGCAGCTCTTGCATTGAGCATCTGCCCCCTGGTGGTTGGTGCACGTCATACCTACCGGCCGGTCAGACAGTCAACAGTTGCTTAGCCTTTTATATATATAGATAATTAAGAACATATTACAAATAGATAATGCACAGGCTCCTCTTTATGAAACAAGTTAATTCTTTAGATTGCTTTTTCTTTTCATTTTTCCAAAAAGCATCTGTAACCAGATAGGCCAAGTCCTACTGACTTACATGTTCTATTCATACCATATCTAGATGGTCTGATTCCTCACTGGCCTTGAACCACAGGAAGGCCTGTCTTTTTCCAGCATCACCTTCTCCAATAGTCCCCAAAATCTTCATGGGAATTATATACATAACCAGATTATTCGCTAGGCTTTCTCTCTAGTGGTCCCAAGCCAGTTTACCTACAGCCAAGGCTGCTATCTGCAGCTCTAGAGACCCTCTATTCCTGGATCCACTGCCCTCTCTTTCCTCCCACTGACTTATTTCTCTGCCTTTCTCATGTTGCCTCCCCTGCCCCAACTATCATTCATCTTGGAACCCCCTCACCTCCTACTGCCCACAAGTCTTCCACATGTCCAATCTCAGACCCTTGGGAAATGCTTCCTGATCCTCATGATCAGTTCTTTCAGAGGGACCTTCAGAGTTGTTGAGCAACTAAGTTAGATATGGTTGTTTCCTTCATATGAAAGCTCTCTTCTTCCCAGTATGCATAAGAGGCTGGAATAAGGGTTACTGGAGGAGGAGCCACTGGTCAAGCATAGCCTCTCCACCTACCTGGAACCACTGTAACTTGGTCAACCCAACAGTACTATTCAACCTGTCAGTTCTGCCAGCCTTCTTTCTCATCTACTGTTGTTGTTTTCTCAGTGGCCAAGACGTCCTCTCAGAAATATGGCTTCTTTTAGAGACTCTGCAGTCAAGAATTAGACTCAAGTAAGAGGATCCCTGTTTTGAGTCCCATGTTTTGAAGGATTATGCTTTGGCTTTATAGACATTCCCCATCTCATAGGGTGAGGGGTCTAAGGAACTAGGAGAACACGGTTACTCAGAGACCTGGTCTTTCATGTTCCAGGAACCCAGGATCCTGGGATACCTACCCAAAGGGCTCCAAGATTGCTTCTAGAGTCCTCACACCCTCTTATCAGGGGTCTGTCATCGCAGAGTCAGGTTGTACCTCCAGTATATGCAGCCTAGACCTGGGAGGTAACAAGGAGCAATTGTTGGGGAGGGGGGTACTGTGGGGAGAGCTTGGGTCTAGGGTGTTCACATGAATTTCTTGTAATGACAGATGGTGCTGCATATGCAAACAGAAGACAGGCAGAACACAGGCCAGGGACTGGCTCTCCCACACTGTGATGTTCAGAAGTGGAAATCTATGTCATCTAAAAATTCTGAATTTGAACATGGCCTTCTAGGTAATTATGAAAGTACATTTGTCAAAGTTGAAGGATATACTGTATTTGAATATATTGTATTTCTGATAATTTATTAGATTGATTTATAACTTTGAAATACGTGGACACATGTTGTGGGCTTTCATTTACTCTCTTGCCCTCGTTCTAGCCCATGTCCCTTGGACAGGTCAGTATATGACTGAAGTTTTTCTGTGGATAAGGCTTGATTTATTTCCTTTGTACTCCCGAATCAACACACATCAAGGGATGTAGATGAACATCTGTTATAAGTGTAATAGTATATATTATGCCACCTAAGTAATACCCCAAAATTCTGTGATCAAGAGCACCAGAGCACCTCTAGGGGTCAGTATTGCCTAACCCACTGCTCTAGCCAGTCAAGGGTCCCTAATAGTACTATATCCAGAAAACTTAAAAATGGAAATGTGATTATCCAGATCATCCAAAATTTTTCCTCCCTCAGCCAGGTGACATTTTGGCTCTTTCTGAGACTCAGTTTTATAAGATGAAGCTCACTGGAAAAGAAAGAGCCTTACTAAGGGTTAACCTGAGCATTACAATCCCACCCCTTCCCTTTTTCCTCCACAGTATAGCCAGGGGACTGCAGTATAGGAACCAGGCTGCATAGGGCTACAAAGGAGTCCCAGAAAGAAGAGATTCACTGAGCAATGATTCTCATTCACCCTTCAGGCAAACTCCATGGTCCTGGGGGCTCTGAGATCCCTCTGAATCTGCCCAGGTGTCATCAATGCTAGTTCCTCTGGGTGATGGAAGGCCCATAATTAGAGGAATCGCCTTTCACCTCCATGCCTGGAGAAATTGACCCCAGAGACTGTCAGGGCTTTGTATCAGGAGATTCTATTGCTCCTGTGGAGCTGACATAAGAAATAACTTTGTGTCAGGCTGGTGTGCTCAGTGATTGAGCATCGACCCAGGAACCAAGAGTTCGCTGGTTCAATTCCTAGTCAGGGCACATGCCCAGGTTGTAGGCTTGATCCCCAGTGGGGGCATGCAGGAGGCAGCCAATCAATGTTTTCTTTTCATCTATATTTTCATCTCTCTCTCTCCCTCTCCCTTTCTCTCTCTCTCTAAAATCAATAAAAAATAACTTTTAAAAAAACAAAAAGAAATAACTTTGCCAGTCAAGTTATGACCACCAGCCTCTATTAGCACTTTCACGAGCATGGAATCAAGTGGAAAAGAAGCATTGACTGAGCATCTACCCCATGCCAGACTCAGGACTTTATTTCAATATCTCCTTTGGTTCTCACAGCAGCCATATGGCTAATATCTACATATCTATCTGTAGCCAACTTTACAGATGAGGGACCAATGTTCAGAGAAATTGTGCCAGGATAT